TTTGGGTTTTTGGGGTTAAAATGAAGTGGTGTGAAGAGGCTCTGGATGCCCAAGGAAGGCGAGACAAATCGTTCAGGTTTGGGAATGACGGAGGGTTTGTTTTCCACTGAGCACAAAAGTCTTTAACCTGATTTTTGCTGGACGTGGAAATAGTTTTCACCCAAATATCCAAGTAATTTTCGATTGGATTATTCTGAGTTTTGGGGATTTTATTGAACAAGTAGGAGCTTTTCCTGGAAAATCGCTCTTTTGTGTGACAGTCCTTTCATCCTGGTGGCTTTGGTGTGAGATGAACCCCGCTTGCTGCAATTAAACATTTCATTAAGCCCCAAGTCCCTGGTGGGTGATGGGGACAAACCCAGCTTTTGGTGTCAGTTTTGGTGTCAGGGCTCTGGGGGACATGGGGGAACCTTCCACAACCTCAAGGGGTTGAGGCAACATTAATTACTGCTAATTAAACACTTGGCTTCTTCACACACCCTCAGGGGCGTGGAAACCTCCGTCACCCCCTGCAGCCTCCTCAAATTGCTCCCCATTTTCCCCGGAGGAAGGCTCGGCTCCAAGACCTGTGCTGGCCTTTCCCCCAGGAGGATTTGTGTTTTTCCAGGGACTACACGCTCTCCTACCTGTCCCTGCGGACGTGCATCGGGCTCTGGACCGCGTTCTTCTGCGTGCTGCTGGTGGCCACGGACGCCAGCTGCCTGGTGTGCTACATCACCCGCTTCACCGAGGAGGCTTTCGCCTCCCTCATCTGCATCATCTTCATCTACGAGGCCCTGGAGAAGCTGAGCCACCTGCGGGAGACCTTCCCTGTGCACATGCACAGCCAGCTGGACCTGCTCACCATCTATTAGTGGGTATTGTCCTCCTCACCACCTATGAGTGGGTGTTGTGTTCTCCTCACCATCAGTTTGTGGGTGTCATGTTCTTCTCACCATCTATGAGTGGCTGTTGTCCTCACCACCTATGAGTGGGTGTTGTGTTCTCCTCACCATCAGATTGTGGGTGTTGTGTTGTCCTCCTCACCATCTGTGATTGGGTTTTGTTTTCTCCTCACCATCAGTTACTGGGTGTTGTGTTGTCCTCCTCACCATCTGTGATTGGGTGTTGTTTTCTCCTCACCATCAGTTAGTGGGTGTTGTGTTGTCCTCCTCAATATCAGTTTGTGGATGTTATGTTGTCCTCCTCGCCACCTATGAGTGGGTGTTGTGTTGTTGTCCTCAACATCAGTGGTTGTTGTGTTATCCTCCTCGCCACCTATGAGTGGATGTTGTACTCCTCACCATCTATGATTGGGTGTTTGTCTTCCTAATCACCCATGAGTGGGTGTTGTGTTGTCCTCACCACTTGTGAGTGGGTGTTGTGTTGTCCTCCTCACTATCTTTTAGTGAGTGTTGTGCTGTCCTCCTCGCCACCTATGAGTGGATGTTGTACTCCACACCATCTATGAGTGGGTGTTTGTCTTCCTCATCACCTATGAGTGGGTGTTGTGTTGTGTTGTGTTGTCCTCCTCACCGTCTATGATTGGGAGTTGTGTTCTCCTCACCATAAGTTAATGGGTGTTGTGTTGTCCTCACCATCTATGAGTGGCTGTTCGTCCTCCTCAGCACCTATGAGTGGGTGTTGTCCTACTCACCCATCAGTTAGTGGGTGTTGTGTTGTCCTCCTCACCCCCGCCAGGTTCCCAGGGCCCGTCCCAGTGTCCCTCAGTCCCCATTTCTCCCCACAGCTGTAAATGTGAGCCCCCMGCCCATCCCAGCAACGAAACCCTGCGGCTCTGGCGGACCAA